GTAATATGTATTTATAATTCACTCATATTTTAATTTTTGTTTTTATAATCGGCGAGACACATGATTTACTGTTTTATTTCAGTCTGAAAATAGCAGTGACAACATCACGACAGCTACAGTTGATTGGATGGTTAAAAAATATCATTTTTCGATGACGAAGCTACACAAGTATATTTTTGATCAATTTGCCCAAATATGGTGTTTCCTAACACACACCACACTTAGAAGGAAGGTCAAAGAACGATTTGAAGAGCTTCAATTGAATCTTAAGAAACGACTAAGTACAACAATTTTCATCTAAAATGTTATTTACCATTGATGGATCATTTACAATTGCTGGTAGGAGTTACTACGGGGTCACTATTCATTATATAGACAACGAATGGAAGTATCGATCTGTAGTCCTTGATTTTATAACATCACGCGGTCGACATACTGGGGAGGATATTGCAACGATTTTCCACGAATGTTTATTGGAATATGACATAATTGATAAAATACAGGGTATCACGGTCGACAACGCAACTGCAAACACCAAATTTATGTATGAATTGGACAAACAGCTGCCACACTTTGATTTAGACAATCAACATTTCCGGTGCTTTGCTCACATTTTAAACCTTGGTGTACAAGATTTATTAAAGAACTTAGCATTACACAGTGAAACTGACAATAAGGGACAAGAACAGCAGTATGAAGATAATGAAGACGAAACTGAGGAAGATGAAGAATATGCGCCAAATATTGCTGACTCACGTACAGCTATAACAAAATTACGCAGTATTTCCAGTAAAATAAAAAGAAGTGAGATATTGAAGAGGAAGTTTCAGTCTGCTTGTGAAGCAGCTGGTGTGCCATCAAATCTGAACCCCATACTCGACTGTCCAACAAGATGGATTTCCACACATGATATGATTGGATTTGGTTTAAAAGTGAGAACTGGCATCAACATATTGTGCACTTCTGTCACCGAATTGAATAATTTTCAAATCACAGATAGTGATAATAAATACTCGAAAAAATACATAAGTTTCTAATAAACTTTAAACTTCTATCAATGAAACTTGGTGGAGGAAAATATGTTACATTACCGCTAGTCATTGTACCATTCAATCTCTTGCTCGATAAAATTGAATCCATGGTAAAACAATTAGATGAGAAACCTAATCGATCCGAAGTGGATGAAAGGCTCATTCTGGGTTTTCAAGCAGCTCGAGACAAAATGCCATTATAAAAAGAGCAACTGAATTTATTGTACCTCTTTAATTTTAGACCCAAGGCATAAGACTCAGACTTTTGACATGACATTATGGGGGAAGCAAATTAAAACAGAAAGCCTGCGCAAATTTAATGAACTTTATAAAGAATATAAAAGTCTACACTCAGTGAATACATCTCTAGAATCACCAAGAAATGAAAAGAAAGTATGTGAATATGATGAAGATGAAGACGTTGATAAATTGTATGCATGTCCCTCGACGTCATCTGGATCTGGATCTTTTCATCAAGGCTTAGTTATAGACGAGTTGGAGGAGTACCTAAGTAAACCCAGAGCCGCCAGTTCGGAAGACATTTTAGAGTGGTGGAGGACGCATGAGACAGAATATCCGACTTTATCGAAGATGCCCCGTGATTTTCTTTCAGTATCTGCAACTTCAGTACCTGCTGAGAGATTATTTTCTAAAGCATCAGTAGTAATTAGAAAACATAGAAATAGGTTAAGTGATGAGTCAGCCAGATGGTTACTTTGTATTAATTCTTGGTCAAAAGAATTAATATAAAGTAACAGTAATGTCAAAGCTGTTGTGTACTGTTATGTAATTTAATTTGTATTGTATTTTATTTTTTTATTTAAATAAATGGTAAATTGTATAACTCTTTTTTTCCATTTCATATAAGGGTCTATCAATCTCTTTCTAGACAGATAATGTTCTTTATAATACAGTCAAGTTAATGTCATTAATTTGTTTTTTATATGTTTTGACTAAGTTTTAGCACATGTAAGCTTATTAAATGTAAACGTTTATTAAGATACAGACTAACTCCCGTGGCCGTGAGACTTGGTAGACAGTTGGTCAGACAGGACTCAGTTGGTTAGAGCATCGGCACGGATCGCTTAGGTCGTGGGTTCAAACCCCACCCGGTATTAGTTGATTTTTCGAATTTCTCATTAAATGTTTAGACATTTATTAATTTGGTTGGTCTTTCTATGGCTATGTTAATTCAAGCTCAAAATGTGCCTACTCTGTTAAGTTGTTCTAAGATCTAAAGTAACGTTTAATAAATAACAATAGGCTAATAGGTAATTGAGATAGAAGACTTGCGAGACTCTTGCTGCAAGACCAAAACCAAGAACAAGACTGAGAGCGCAATACCAAGTCCAAGAACAAGACCAGGTGTATTGGCGCAAGACCAAGACCAAGACTGGCTAAGTCTCGTCTTGTTCTTGCATTTGGGCAACACTAGTGGTGACGGGATTAGTATTATGATAGATTAGTAATTAAGATAGAGAGCACGCAATTGAGGGAGGGCGGGAGGTGCTCTTCAATCCAGGTAAGACACATCATTGTATTTAATTAAGCGGATGGTTGCGAATTAAATAATAATATCTTTATGTATGCATTCAAATCTGCTTAAGACTGCAGCTTCATTTCCCGTCTAACAGGTAGGGGAATAAGAGTGTGATCGAACAGATTTGTGTTAACTTAGCTTCGACCGCATGGACAGTTTCCATGAGCTTGTCATGTACATCGTCCACGGCATAGAGCAGCAGAGTAGAGTTGTAGTCCTTGTAGTAGTACATATATAAAATATGCAGAATCGTTTGGAAAAGTCGATATCATGATTTGAGCCTTGATTCGTTTACGTTTGTGGCGCTACAACAGACCGGACTGCTGAGACCGGAGGTCGATGGTGCACCGCAACGAACCGTTAAAAGTGTAGCTGGCAAAATATATCGCTAGCAACGCAGTGACGATAGTAGATATACGATAAATATTAATGCCATCAAAAACATAACTTCTAAAAAAACCAAGTCTCGCAACTCAGTTCTTCTACCGTAAAAAGTTGTGAGATCCATGTAACAACCAAGTCGCTTAATTTATTCAGTTTAATCATGTAATGCTCTAAACAATCTAATTTAATATAATATGTATTACTTGTGAGATACATTGTGTTTTCATACGATGGCAAAGTCAATCTATTTATTTAAACCCAAAATACATTGATTACCTTTAATTTAATAAAATAAAAAATAAATGTATCAATGTTTAATCCTAATAAAAGAAAAAAAAAAAAAAAAAACATAAAAGATTTTTAATATTGATATGGTCACTATAAGATGTGCTTAGGTTAACTAATTACGTAAAACCTTTAAATAGGAGGACCTTTAATTAGGGACTGAATAAATTTGGACTTGGTGTTACATGGATCTCACAACTTTTTACGGTAGAAGAACTGAGTTGCGAGACTTGTTTTTTTTACAAGTTATGTTTTTGGTGGCATCTCATTTTTTTGTAGATAATCCTACTTTTTTCCTTTCAGGTACCTTCTACTTCTTCAATACCAACAACATACCTATCTAAATCTATTATTCCATTATAGTATACAGGTACACTAATTCATTCACTGCAAATGTAATACAAAGTTGTTTATGCAGTAGATGTATCTACAAAACTGGACTGAAATTGCAAAATAATTTGGTTTTCCCTTGATTTATATTAACACTAATTGAATTCTAAATTTGAAACTTCTATGTCTGCCAGAAATACCTTAGAGTTTTGATGATCGGTCAGTCAGTCAGTGAGTGACAAAACTAAGAAACTTTGACTAGTTATAATTTTTAAACTACTGGTTCTAATTAAGTGCTGCAAGTATTGGCAATGACAAGACGGCCCTAATAAAATAAAGTCGTTATTCAGAACAAAGCAGATGCAAAAATCATGTCTTCTGAAAATCAGAATATAATCAAAATCAGGTGTAGAATTAATTTAATGATTAATTGCTTTCAAAAACAAAATCCACAACCCCAAATCCCATTTTACACAGGAATATTGACACAGTTTACTTCTGCAGTGGTTTCGGCGCTGCGGGAAGTGCAGCCCCTTCGTCCTTGCGGGCGAATGCTGCTCTCCCTCCGCTGCTGCGACTTTACAAAAACACTCTAGGGGTAGGGCAGACAAGACTACATGGAGTCGGGGCGTTCTGATTCGGTTTTAGTACAGATTCGATCTATCTTATCTATAATATATTATAACTGGTAAAGAACAAAAAATGCCGTTCATACTTTATAGTAAGGTATTGGTGATCCTGGACCCAATAATTCCCAGAATATTACCGTCATCTTCATCCGACCTCAATAATCTTTCAGCACTTAATTCCTTGCTATGACATAATACTTATCGTTTATCTACTATCGCAAATTTCAAAAGTTCGTTACGGTGAAAATTTACAAGCACCTAATTTTTTCTAATTTTTAAACTTGCCGCCTAATTAGTTATAAAAAGCCCCCAACTTTGGCTTTTTCTAAATTTAAATTCCTGACTTTACGTTGCTGGCGAGACAACACTTTAATCGGTATATTATTAATATTATATCTACTATTGTAAAATTTTTGAAAACCAATACTCCCCTGGGAAAAAATACAAATTTTGTGCTGGGGTTCTCTAGAGTGAATTATAACAGGATAATAAAAGACTGATATTAAATTTATTTTTGTATTTCGTTTGTGTTTTGTATATTTTATATCATACATAATGTTACCTTAATCCTAACTATATTTCATTTCTCAGGTAAAAAATCTTATAAAATATGATTAAACCATTAAGTACATACTCATTTTAATTTATTCCTCATGCATTACAAAACTAATATTCACGAGATCAGTCAATTTTTGTATCTAAAACTAAAATTTGTTTCATATTCTTAATTCTTAAATTGTTTATTGAGAGAGAACATTAATTGGATATACATATAATATGTACATGTACACCGTTTGAATGCTATGAACGTGGTTTGAACCTTGACATATAAAAATCGCAATCTGGGCAATACATAGCCGGCGGGCTCACACTCTTCTTTCGACACAAACTACAAACAGATTTTTGTATAGACGTTAAAACGTTTTGTGCATCTCCATTACTGTAGTTGTTTGCGTTCATTTGCGGTGGTATCGGAGAGTCAGTTCCGCCTTTTGTTCCCGGCTCAAAGGATACAGATTTCTTTTGTATTTGTTTTGGCGGTGGTAATTGTTGGTAAGGATTATAGGTGTTTTGGTATTGATATTGTGAAATCTGCTCACTATTAGTCATATTGCTATCGACGATAATATTTTGATTATAATTAGATCGCGGCTGATGTTGCGAATTAGCGTAATGCCTCGCGTCTGGCAGGCGGTTTTGGTTATTTGTATTAGTGTCAATGTAGTAGTTGCTTGATGATTTCGGATAATTATTATTGTTGTAGCTTTCGACGGGCACTTCACCATGTGGAGGAGGAACTCGTTGATATGGTGAATGCGTAGCACTGTAGTGGTTTGTACTATTCACTTGGGGATATCGACTAGAATAATCGGAGCTAGCATAGCTTGTCGGTGGGTTGTGATAGCTCTGATAAGCCGGTGAATTGGTGGGGATGCTTTGGTAATTCGGGTTGTTACTATGTAAATTCTGATTAAATTGACGATTCGAAGGATAGTTATTAGGAAGCGTTGAAGTTTGTTGTGGCAGTCTATGATAATAAGCGTTATTCGGCGTTTGGTTTATAGGGCTAAGTTGGCTCGGTGGATGCGGAAATATATTTGGAACAGGCCTTTGCAGATTAGGCACATGCTTGGACATATACGGCGTGGCAGTTGGCGTCAGTCTGTTAGCAGGATTTTGACTAAAAGTCGGTGGGCTTGCGTTGCTATGAGTCTGATAAGCTGATGGCGGCTGACTGTACGGAATAGGATTCGTTGAACATTGTGAACTTACGGGTAACGTCTGATATATCTGATTATTGTTTATGGCATTCTGATTCTGTGTCAGTTGAACCGGGGAGTTGGTTCCGTGCATCCCGGTGGATTTTTGCGAATTACACTGCTGTTGGTGGCGTGTTTGTACGATTTGATATGTGGGATAATTTTGAGGTCGGCAATGTTCACCGTGAACAGTTTCGCTAGGTACATATGACGTTTGAGATAGTGATGATATCGTTGACCGTGACGATTGACTGTCAAATGAATCTTGTCGTTGCAGTGAAGGTTTCTCGGTCTGCAGTGGCATTGTAGTTAATTCTGGTTTATTCATTGCAGACTTTAATACTCGTTCTAATATGGGATTTGGAATATAACTGTCGTCTTCTTGATCCTCTGCTGTTGCAACTAAAATGACTTGATCGCAGAAAGATACAGACTTCTTTTTGGGCTTCGATCGATCCCCGTAAGGTGCATTATTGTTATTGGTCAGTTTTTGTTCGTTATATTCATCATCCATCTGTTTGGGATCAATAGATGAGGAAGATGCACGTCGACTGTAAATCCCAGTGTTTGACTGATTCGAGCAATTAATGACATCCCTGTTACCGCTCATGCCTATGAAACCTACATGCGATCGATCTGCTTCGGGAGTCACATTTTGTGCGTTAGATTCAAATCTCGATGCTATATTTCTTACATTGTTATTAGTTTCAATTAATTTGTTAGTATTATTCTCATTTGGACTAGAAAGTTGACCTTCGAGAGAACCTGACCTTCTAAGTTTTAAACTTGCTTGTTTAGCTTGTAATTCCCTAAGCCAAGTATCTGTTTGAATGTGTGATGTTTCAAATTGTGTATGTTTGATGGTACTTTCTTCATTTCTAAGAATTTGATTTCTCTTTTCTTGTAATTGCGCTAAAAGTGAATCTTTAGGAATTTCTTTGTCTTCTTCAGTATACTGATGATGAATTTTATTTAGTTCATCCTGAAGTGGTGTTAAATCGATTGGTGGAGGTGGAGGTGGGAATTCTTCGCTGGGCTGTCTGGAATGGTTTACCGAATTCATGGGACTGGGATATGGAGGCAAATCGAACATGAGTGGTGATCTTCTCATTGGTAAAGCAAAGTCGACAACATCGACGCCATTATCAAAAGCGGTACTTAGATTTTGAATATTATTCTGTGACGGTAGTATATTTTGCATTGTATCCCTTTTTACGGGACTTTGTTCATGATGAATCATCGCTTTAGTCACAACAGTAAGGAAGTTTTGTGGTGGTGAATCATCCAGTCTATTGTAATGGTTCACAGGTTGACCGTCGTAAGACGGTAAAAACGGTAATGACTGAGGTTCATCTCCGTATGGTTCTACAAATCCACCATTGTCATCGTTTTGAACGTATGAGTAATCGCCTTGGTTTACTATTGGTAAAGGTTGCGGTGGACGATTTTGCATTCCATGTTCTATTACTTCTGCTTCAAACTTAGACCCGCTAAGCTGAGAAGTTGTGCGCAGTGGCGGAGGGGGTGGTACTTTAGCTGCAGTTAGTATTTTCCCAGCGCTGCCATGAAAACTCTTTCGCATGAGCTTGCTCCTTTCGAGATTAGGATTGGTGCCACTTGCAGCTGAATATTCTAAATGCCCTTCTGATAGATAACCACTTAAATTGGATTTCTCCTCATGCTTTTTTCTTTCCACATCAGCATCATCTTTTGAAGTTATGCGTTTGTCTTTACTTTTGGATTCGTTTTTATTATCAGCACCCTCGGTCAAATCAGGCATTGACCTGTTTTTCCTTCTTATTAACCCACCCATTAGCAATTTTCTTCGGATTTTATGCTGTTTTTTATTAGCTTTTTTATCATCTACAGGCTCGTCCTTTTTCTCTGTGGTCACAGCAACTTCTTTTCGGCCTCGACCTCGGTCTTCACTTCTAGATCGTTTTTCACGGCTTTTTTCTTCATCGCGAGATTTATGTCTAGGAGGACGTTCACGTGTAGTATGGTCAATGTCATCTTCAATGTGCTTTGGAGATTTCTTTGACGAGCTCTTCTTTTTCGGCAAAGTTGCATAAATTTCGATGGAAGGTAAGTTTTCCAGCCCACCTTTAGTATTTCTTACGGGAGCTGTTAGAGCAACTTCCGGTGGTCTAGTCATACCAGCCATTTTTCTTTGTAAGCTTCGTGCTCTCATCACGCAAGTATTGTGTTTCATTCTAGCAACTGTCATTGTATGTTGATTATTGTACGGTGCGTCCATTGCAGCCCGAGCCTTAGCTGCAGCGTTGTCACAAAGAAGAAGAGCGGTATCGTAATCAGCTGCATCTTCTGCGTGGCGAGATTTTTCAAGCAATGTGTCTGCTTCCGAACAAAGAGCATCACAATCACCACGAGTAGTTAACTCTGGTATCTGTGCTAGTTGTAAATTTGGGGGCCTATGGTTTTGTTGCTGAGGAAGACTGTCAGTTGACGACAAAGAATATGAATCATACCCAGTGTCACAGGATCCACCGCTCGACAACTCTCCTTTGCGAGTCGGACTACTAGGAACACTTCCTGATCCTCTACCCCTAGGGTACATATAGGGGCTGTCCGCTGTTGAAGAAGACGCGGAAGATGCACTGTTACGATCTCCACTCCAATTTCCGGAGTCTCTCCGAGATCTTGGTCTTTCTTGTGTATCTGAAGCTGAGCTTGCACTCAAACTTCGAGCTAATTGTGCCCGTCGACTAGCATGAACATCTAACATATTCTCTACAGCTTTTCTACTGACATAGTCACTTTCATTGTCAGGACCCGGAGTAACAGCTCTTCTTGCAAATCCAGCTGTTGGTCTTTCTGGTGCAGGTGTGATTGCCCGCCTCGGTTCTGGGGCTGAGAATGGAACAACTTCCTTTGGAGCATGACGAGTATCACACGGTGTACCGTCAACCGCGGCATATAATAATAGGAGTGGCTGAAATCTAGCTCTTCGGCATTTCTCGACTACTTGAGACCATTCTGGCCCAATTTCCTTTACGTCAGCGTCATCGAAATATATCCATAGTTGTAGTTTGCTATGAAAGAAAAATGTGGAGTAATGTTTGCCGTAATAAGTGACGAGTCCAACTAGACGGTGTGTTGCCCTAGCAGCCCAAGCGCAATCGACACAGGCGTGGAAGGCATCGGTTGGTCGTAATTCAGTACCAAGAGCTGCGTACACGGCTGCTACATGTTCAGCGGATGGTCGCTCGGAATCCCACACCATCCCAATTGATACGACTTCTGGTCGATTCATGAGAGTTCGGCAAATTTGAATCTTTGCACCGCAGGCATTCTGAAATAAATCACAGAATATTTTTAGTATAGTTGTGGATACTACCAAATTATTATAATTAGTGTATGAAAGTGCTTGAGTTTAAATAAACTAAAATCAGTTCGAAAAAAAACTGTATATTGTGGTAGGTACCGTTTATAATCATAAATATTTTACGTGGTAGAGCCACGCTGTAGCTATATTAGTTGTAGCACAGATGGGTCAGCTCGACCGGGGTCTCCTATGGGACCAGCGTATAATAACAGCTTAATGCTGCTGTGTTTCGTATGTTGAGTGTGGAGAACCTGAGGCCTTTTTTACCGGAAACGAGGCATTCTATCTCAGTCTTCAGGCGTGACAACGCATCTGCATTTTGATTCTTAATTGAAGATAAATGTGTGCTCGCTTGTCACTCTTATTTTATAATAAAAAATCGTGAAACCTAACTAGTCTTCCAGTAGTGGATCATAAAACATAAAATACTATATAAATATAAAGAACAAATTAACTTAGATTACTTACTGGACAATCCCGTATATCGCCCATTCCTCCCGCTTTTCTTAGCAAAGTGCCAAAGCTGTCACTGTGATCGCCAAAAGCAGCTTGTGTTGTCAACGCTGTTGCGGATACATAATGCACCATCTGTAAATGCAAAATACCAATATTAAAAACCATGATATATCATAGAGTTTCATGGTAGGGTATATTTATAAAAATAAATAACAAGTGTTATTTCATTTTACAAATAACGTGATTAAATAACAAGTGCGTTACAGGGGAGATTTGCCCCGATTTTAAAAGTATTTTTTGTTCTTTCCCTATTGAATTTGAAATTGTTTTTCCTGAAAATAATATTAAAATTTTACAAACATACCTGAGTAAACGGTAATGGTTCGGACGTAGCTTGGCAAGCCCCACAGACTGATTGCTCGACCAACATCATGGCGAACTTGCGATGTGGCACGCAGTGTGGGGCTCTGCAAGCATCGTCTTCTCTCTTGTCTCCACTCCCAGCTGCAACATGGGCGTGCACTCTGAGGAGGAGATGCTCGAAGCACTCGCTCGCGTCGGCCATGCAGCCTAGTTGGAAGCGAGCGCCGCCGCCACCAAGCGCGCGACGCAGGCTGTCTGCCGCCGGTGCGCGCTCCGCCGACCATTGCAGCTGAGCGAATAGTTCCTGTAAACAATAAAAAACGTTAACGTATTTTCTCATTAGCTCATTGGTTCCCATAGAACAGGGTAATCTAATTTGGGCACCTGCCACCCACAACAACTAAAAATGCTTAAACTATTTACGAAAAAAAATGCAACTGTATAAAATGTGAACGAAATTAATATTTATTATTAATATTATTATTTATAGAATAAGCGTGGCAAACGAGCACACAATCCACCTGGTGATTAGTGGATGCTGTGGCCTATAGACATCTACATTAATCCTCGATTGAGAATCAAAATGCAGATGCGTTGTCACCATTGGGGACTAAAATAGAATGCCTTGTTTCCAAAAAAAGTTTCTGACGTTGATATTGTGTGAGAACGTGGTCTTTCCTCGGTCGAGCCGATCTGTTCGTTCTACAACCATAATATAGCTGCATCATGACTTTATTATGTGAAGTATATAATATTATGTATTAACATGTTTTGTGTGTAGGACATTATTCACAAGGACTAAAATATAAAAGGTACCTTAATTAACTTCAATTATTAACACGTACACGAGCACCTTACGTTCGGCAACACCGTTCGTGATGGTAAGAAAAAAAAAACATTTCGGGATCATGTGAAGTCTGAAGATAGATAATTCTCACTGGATCAGCACAGTAGAAGAGATCCCTTTATGCTCCACACCTTGTAAATTATTATTATAACAAAGACAAATTACGTTCAGGCCTTTTTAGTTTTATTTTACACCCAAATATACTAATATTTTACATTTATTTTTAATACTTTGTTGCCAGTGAGTAGCGTTATAGGTGCCAGTCTCTAGAAAATTTCGTTCTAGAAAATATTTTCGCCGTTTTTATTAATTTAACGAAATTAAATTTACTTAATAATAAGCTATTATTTAATACATTCATTGCTTTTACACATACGCAATGTTTTTCATGTGGTTATAGAAAATAACGTAATAATTAGTATGTTGATAAGTAGTATTATGACAATTTTAATTAATGCATTTCAAAAATAACACAGCAGCCGTAGAAAAATATTTTAAATTATCCTTCGTAATATAATACACATTATACCTATCTTCGAAGACGTGTATAGGGTAAGTAGAGTTAAATAATTTCTACTTAGGTCTTCTTAATAAAAAGGCAATAATGAACTTTAAAATAGGAATATGAAAGCTCTAAAGATGTTTATAGACCAAGAGAAAGGTATAATATAATATAACATTCATACTAAAGAAAGTTGAAATTTGATTCTGAATGCAGTGGTTGTACTAAATTGAGTCCTATTAATATTGTTTTAAAGTTTATTCAAACATTCATTTTGTTTTTGGGCTCGAGGAAAAAAACCAGTATGACACGAACACGAATATTATAGGTCACAAGTAAGTCATGACCCGGCCGAGATCATGCGACGTACAATACAAAACGGGTCCCGTACGCTAAGCGCGACTGTTTGTGTTTCGTAATGTTGGTTACGTTAAAGTTGGCATTCTTGTAACAGACTACTACGTATAAGTACTAATTTGCCTTAAATATTTTTGATAATATAAATATTGTAAAATTATTATACGATCAGTTTTCTTTTTTTTATTACCATTTAAGCATACTGATCCATTTGACTATGTCAGTTTCTTTCATTCTACGTCGGATATCCTTTCCTCATTAGGTACTAATGCCCGATTCCTATTTTAAGAAACGTTTCCTTGTCCGTAAAAATCCGTTTTATGATATAGGAAGTTTATGTACCTTAATTTATATAACTATTAATTCATTCAACAACTTAGGATATTTGAAAATGAAAAAACTTTAAACGGTTCACAAATAGTTGAAGTGAAATTTTGTTTTAAAAAAGGAAGTTATGCAATTCATTTACTTCAAAACGGTAATGAACAAGTAAATTAAGTGATCTGAGTTGTCACCGTCACCGAGCGATTGTATGTGTGTGTGTGTGTGTGTGTGTGTGTGTGTATGTGTGTGTGTGTGTGTGTGTGTGAAATTGTTAGTTGTAAAATTAAATGAAGGGCATGAAAACGCAAAAGCAACAAAGAGTTTTTAAATATAGAAACCTGACATAAGTTTATCTGCAGGGAAACTCCGGACATGGACCACACCTTAGCTCGCTGAGCGGCCTTGAATTTCCTTATATGGCCAGCGATAGAAGACCACGTCTCAGATGCATAAATCGTCACTGGCAGTACAATCATGCTTTTAAGTTTTGTAGTGGGTATATAAGTGAAAGGATGTGTCGTAATCTTCCGAACGCTGCTCTACCAAGTTGGATCCGTCGACTGACCTCTCGGTCTAAGTTGAAATCACCTAGTCGGACAATTTGTCCTAGTTAAGCATACTCGTGACAACTTTCAGGGTAGTGCTCCTAACAATTACCGGCATATATGTGGATTTGTCTTCTCTATTTTCATCTTAAATGCTATCCTTCATATATAATATATATATGATAGTATTGGATGGTGGATGCACAGAGGGAGAGGGGGTGGCTTTGAATCATTACTCGCACTAGCGTGGCTGTCCACAGCACTTCTCAATCCTACGCAAAATCATGGGTCCTGGAAATAGCTGCTGCAGTCGGTCTTCAATTCAGACAAGTGAGTCTTTCCAGCAGGCAGATTTCTAGCTAAGACTTCTGAACCTTGGTTTCGCTTTAACACGAGCTGTATTGAAATTACTTAAAATTCAACGATTGCATTTAGCGATGAACTTAACATTAAAGATCAGCGTGCCTCTCACCATTCGGATATCGCTACCAGTTTTCATCTTGCGATCCCTGCGACATCAGTGAAGAGATGCCGTCTGGTCATCATAATAAATTCAATCTCATTTTCCATCCAAGTGCACTTTATGTGTGGCCGCAATATTACCATGGGTTGCATATACGACGCTGCAGCTATATTAGTTGTAGCACGATTGGATCGGCTCCGCTTGGGTAGGACCACGTTCTCACAGAATACCAGAGTAAAATAGCAGCTTAAGGCCGCTGTGTTTCGTATGGTGAGTGTATAGAACGTGGGTGACAACGCATCTGCATTTTGATTCGTAATCGAGGATAAATGAAGATGTCTATGAGCCACAGCATCCACTTACCATCACGTGGACCGTGTGCTCGTTTGTCACCCTTCTTCTATAAAAAACATAAATAGTATTTTGCTATTTACTTATTATGTGATATGTAAAATATTTAATTAAAACATTTTTTGTTTTAGTTTTTAGAAAAGGACAATATAATGTTGAGAAAGTATAGCATATTAATTAGCTTTATTACGTTTCGAATATGGAATAGTAGTAAATCAAAATACTATAATGGCAAAAAAAAATTCCCTCAAAATATATTCTTAACAAACACATTACAGAAAAGACTATAATATTCTGAGCTTGGTGGCTCTTACTGGTGTAATTGATTGTACCGATAATCTCTTACCTCTGGAAGCAAAAAAAAAACAATACCTGTATTTAACTTTGAAACTTTTAACTTAACTTTTTTTTTAAACATATTTATCATAGATATTTGGTGGTACATATTGTGTTTTGACTTTTTGCTAGTAACGGTGTACCCGTATGTGATGTGATGTAATTTACTTTACAAGATTACTGCAAAGTGGTTGTAATTCAAGTGGCGTATTTATCCGGTGCAATGGCGGACGCAGCTTGTGTCGTGCCTTCCGCTATGCTATGCATCTAACATTGCGTTCCTTACGGGACGAGTTATATAAAAAGCAATATTGAAAGCTTACTTAATTTTACATTTTTTTATGGTCCATACGACTTTTACAAAAAATGATTCCTTGAATGGAATAAATACATCTTTGATTATTTAAAAATCTAAAACTGATTTACAACAATAATATTTGATTTTAACTTTTCTCTTAATAATCGCGGTGTCAAAAAACCAAAATACAGAAAGCATTCCCCCATAAACTTAAAATTTCTTTAATATTTAAATAATATGTTAAATATATAAATATATAGGTATAGGAAAGATACAAATTAACTTTTAATATTATCAAACAAAACCGACAATTGGTTAATGTTACTGTACTACAAAATTATTTCATTTACCATTCAAATGTCTGGGTATGACCAGCGCCTTTGCAAGTGCATCAGAGACAACTTTTTTGAAAAAATTATGGTACAGCCGAGACCCCCTACCTGATAATGTTACACCTATCACAAGACTATAAGGTTTAGAGTAAGGTCTAATTGGGTACCGTCTCAGTTATCAGTAAGTTTCCTAAAATAGGTTCCTTAGTTGGCAGAGTGCATCGAGCACTTGTGAGGTTGGCGTTTGGTATCTCTGGCTGTAATATCTCAATCTCCTTTTAGACCCCTTAACTATAGCATCTTAAACTCAATAAAATCTGTATAATTGAATCATATGTAGCTGGCTAGCATTTGGATATTTGTTACAATAAATATTAATTTCCATTACCAAAAATACTTATTTGTTTTCAATTCTCATTTAAGAATATTAAGAAATAATCAGACAAATTAATTTACAATTAGGGGTTTAAGAAGTAACGTGATAAAACTTTTTTCAACTGCAAATTTCAACTGCAGCCAATGATATCCTTCTGATTGACAGGCGATGCTTAGATGACGGAAAATTCATCCAAAAATGCTAAACACGAATCTCTCAAACCGATAATCGAAAGCGGTGATACCAGTGCGAGGGTTAGACCAGCGTAGTTGCTTATGAAAAAAACTTTAAGTATTAAAATAAAACAATCATGCCAGCACATTGTTGGTAAGGTGTAAAGGTGGCATGTAGAGTAACAAGGCTGTTTATTATGATGATGATGATGAATTTACTGTTTATTTTTAGGAGGAATTATTTTTTCACCAGTAATAAGCCAGTGCTTGACTACTATACCACCTGATGGTAAGTGGTGATGTACCCAAAGATGATAAAGGGCACTGACTTAGCTTAACAAAAGCCCATTCACTGTTGTTTGAAAACACCTATAGCAGCCATTGTAAACGGATGGAAAGA